GTTCCCACGTTGTTTCGTTTTTGAAGGTCATGTCTGCAGAAAGATATTCTGTTTCCCTCTCTTTCCAAAAGCTGAGGCGAAGAAACACTGAGGGTAGCGGACTCACGGCCCGCCAGCCGTCGGAGACCGGCAGGAGTACAAATGGCCTAATGGTGTAAGGTGCCTCTTCCCAATGAGCAGGTCGCGGGTTCGCTCCCACTCGGCGGAGAAAGTTTTTTGCTGTTTTGCCTAAGTTGTTATATTACTTATTAGAGTTCGTCGGACAAATGTGCAGCTTCATGATCCTCTGGTAGAAAAATGATCTCTTCGTCGTCCTCGTCACCATCAGCAGGAGCGGCATTTTGCGTCATGGCAGCACCGATGGGACTAATGAAGTTAAATTTTCGTTCGAAAGCTAATAAAGCCTCTTCAGGATCTGCAATCTCCAAAATTTTTTGTTCTTCTTCTCTCCCTTTAATTTTTTTTGCGTTGGTCGAAACTCCCCGAACTCCATAATTAGTTGCAACGCCCTTATGGTTTTGTAGCCATTCCAGAGTAACATTTCTATTTAATTCGAACGGCAGGTGCCCTACTGGGTATGAGTAAATTATGAACTCAGTCTCCCAATTGTTGACGGTTGTACGGCTTCTGCGGGGGATCCATTAAGTGGTTGATGATACTGAAACCGCGTTCGGCCGGTGCCGATGAGGCAGAGAAGCTAAGCACGAAAACGAAGACTCTTGACAATATTTTCGGAAAATTGAGAAACTTTTTGTGCCGATAGAAAAAAGCTAGTAGAAGAGAGGGGTGGCGCCTAACGAGCGAGAACTCCTCTTTCAACGGTGTAGGCATCAGTCCAAGCTGGGTGGATAACAATCTTAGCGCGGATTCTGCGTCATTCGCATCAACTTGCGGCACCATGTACGAGTAAAGAATTTTCCTATGCTTGGAGGGTACGGCCGGGTTGTAGTTAGGGTCGTTGGAAATCTTGAAAACCTCGTCAGGAGTGAAGGCTATGAGAGACGAAGTGACCTCGTCGCCCACAAAACGCTCGTCGATGTGTTCAATGTAGTTCTCGACAATCTCCTTTCGAACGTCATTTGTGATGTGGGGGAATTTCACGTCTTGGAAATTTTTGTATAAAGTCAGGTCCTCGAGGTGTTCCGCGTCCTCCTTGGTTGCGTGTCCGCGTTTGCGCTTGTTTTTTTCCATTTCGTTATTGGCCAACTTGACAGCCGCGTCTATCGTTGGTAGCAGCTGGTCTCTAAGTTCTGTGAAACCCTGCGGGTCTACTCCTCCTGGGGCGAATAAATAGTTAGAGATATCCCATTCCGCATCGGTCTTTGATTGTGCAACTATCTCTCCTTTCTCCTTACGCTTGAAGGCGATCCAGTAGGGGTCCGGGTGCATGAGATCTTTTCGGTTTGCCCATCCTTGGAACAGAGTGAGTAAGCAAGACTTGTCCGTGATGAGTTGACGTTTTTTACGATCGCTTCCGACGCACTGGACTCCGATGCGCTGCAAGAGGCCCAGCGTTGCTTCGGTCACAAACGCCGGTTGCTCAAGTTTTCGTAGGGCAGACTTGGTGTCGTCAACAGCTTGGACACTGTAAGAAAGAGGCATCGCTTCGGACTGAAGTTGCTTAGACAAAATTGAAACGGCTCCGAGCATGTCGATACTGAAAACTAGGTACGCAAAAAACTTTCCATCCTTCATCGTGGCCAACATGGACACCGCTTTCGCGCGTGCGGGCTGATCAAACTCGTTTGGATTTTTAGCGATAGTGTGCAAAGTGATCAGGACTTCGTCGTACAGTTCTATCAAACTTTTTACCGCAACAAGCTCACTAGTTGCCCATCTGACGCTGATTATGCCCTTGAGTTTGAAGAGATGAGCGCGTCTCAACATCACGCTGTTATCGAGAACACGGCGACGCTTCACCGCTGTTGTACCGAAGAACGAACGAAGGCGATTGATGAACTTGGTGGTAAACTCGCGCATGCGAAGACCCTCTGACGATTTTTTGTATGCGTCGGCGATGGCGAGTTCCAGCTTGTGCGCCAGACAGTGTTGAATCCCAAGAGGCTGAGCTCGGTCTCTGTTGACAGTACGTTGGCCGCGAACCCATGTGCCGAGGAGCGTAGTGAAGCCTTTGATCTTCCCTTGCATGTTGAGGGCTCCGTCGGTCGTCACCGAAGAGACTTGGTTGGCAAGAACGTTGGTGATCCCATTTTTTTGAAACCAATCGGTGACCATCGCGAGCACGTGCTCTCCGGTCTCCGATTCTTTTACTTCCTGCAACGTCAAAGGCCGTATGTGTGCTAGTCCATGGAGGTCTACGTATTTTGCAAGGATCAAGAGTATTTGGTCGCCATACTTTGTTGTCGTGCTGTCGAGGATCAACGCTACAGTAGGACGGAAAGGATCCGTGTTTCTGGAAGTTGACGAAGGAACGCTGTATGACAGTTCGAATAGTTTCCAGCATTTTGTTCTCCTGTCTCGGTGGTGGTGTCCAATCGGTTTGCCTAACATTTTTTCAGCGGCGCTTACGAAATAATCAAAAGATAAAGAAGAATGGACCAATTTCACCGAATAAAACGCCAGAGCTATCATTTTGTCAGTGGCTCGCAACGAACTGTCAAGGAGGGTGCCGTCTTTTTTCAACCCGCTATCTTCAACTCGTTGCTGAACATAGTCTTCTCGTTCGGCCAAGTACGAAGCGACTGCGTCTTTGTGTGTGGTGGTGTCCAGGTGTTTCTTCATGTCCTTCAATAACTTCTGAGCATCTTCCACGGGGTAGGCGATTTTGAATTTGATATTCGTTGTGCCGTACTTGGAGCAAACGGCACAGTCGACATGCAGCTCCTTGGTATTGCTTCCTGCAACAACTCGCAGCAGCGGTCTGAAATAAACGTAGGCGCGGCCGCGGAGAATCGTCTCCAATTGCAATTTCGGCAACAATCCAGCGTCGAGAATGGATTTCTTGTCAGCTTCGAAATTTCGTTCGAATGCGGCCGCGAAACGTTTTTCAAATCCATGACGAATTATTTCTTCAGCTTCCAGCGTTGTTTTGTACCCCTGGTTTTTCACCGCAGTCTCCAAATCCGCTTTCATCGAAGGTAGGGAGTCGGCAAGCAAGCGATATATTTGATGTAACTTCTTTGTAGTGTCCGCCATCTTTTGTGACAAAATTTGATTTATTTCTTTCTGCAGACTTTCTTCCAGCGGGTTACCATCAACAGAGCGGTGGTCAAGCTCAACTCTAGGGCGTTTTGGGACCACGTAGATATCTCCTTCTTCATCTTTTTGACTTTCTTCTAGGCGCCTCTTAGGAAGATCTGAGCCATCTGTGTCTTCGCGAAGTCGACGCTCATCATCGGAACTAGTGGCTGCACCGTGCGGTGATACTACTTGCACAACGTCTGAAGAGCTATCACCTCCCCCTTCATGGTCTGGAACATCAAGCAGTGGCTCAGCCTGTACATCAATAACTTCCTCATCTTGAACATCTTCCATCGTAAATGTTGATTCCGTCCTAGTTTTAGCGATTACAGTAGTTTCCGCAATGACATCAGTTGTTAGGCCACAGACGTTTTGCTGCCCGGGCGATTCCTGACCCACGATCAACTGAACGCCCCCACCGACCACTGGGCACCGCGACAAAGACTTGCCAACGACGAACGCAAAATCTACAAGACCCGTGTCGACGCCACCTGAAAGAATCGGTTGCAAAGATTCTGCCCCAACCGTCACGCGTCGTACTGTCACCCGAGACGGAACGTGTGTTCGGACTGCTCTCACGAAACCGTCTTCGCCTCTTCCAACTCCGTCCCTGTCCAAGATGATAACGTCGACAGCTTCTTCTAGGGCGAAGGTTATGTCTTTTGGTTTTATTTTGCGAAGCTCTTCGACCTGCTTGGGTACCCTATGCTCACTGCGATAATAGGTAATATTTTGTTCCATCGTCTTCCAGGCCTTTCTTTGGTTATCGGTGTTGGAATCATAGAGAATAAATATGACTGGGTGGCTTTCAGCAGGTGTTGCTTTCGTCGGTGGAGGCTGAACGGATCCTGAAGAACTTATTCCAGAAGGTACCAGGTAGCGGCTTAGGGCGTTTGGCATTATAGACGACTTCAGTGGCCCGTTAAACAGACGGTTAGAACCTCCGCCAACCAATCCGTTTTTGTAATTAGCCACGCCTACTTCAGGGGGAGGAGGGCTTTCCGAGCTCGAACGAACCAAGAACTCTGGTTCTACTTCATCGTAGAATTGCCGATTTTCCTCCTTGTGTTGCACGTTCTCTATATCCCTTAATTTACTGAGGTGAAAGCTTCCGTAAAAAAGCACGTAAGGCGTTCGAAAACTTTTATGCCACGTATCCACAACTAAGACTCTGTAATTACGAAAACCCAGCCTATCGGAAGCCGAACACTCACCTCTATAACTTACCTCAAAAAAAACTACCTTGTTTTCAAACGCTTGCAAAGGGAGCAGGGTGTTGAGCTCTGATATGTACGGCTTGCATAGGCTCGACTCAGCCTCAGGCACAGGCGCGCCCGTCACACATTGGCCCATTAGCAGAAAAAAAATAACCGTTTTGACGACACTTCCGCGAAGATAGGAGCTCGCAGGATATTCCTGAACTCTCCCAACGTGTTCCATAATCGATCATTTTCCTATATATCCTTGCTGCACTCCAAGCCGATGAAGAACCAAGAAAACCACTCAACCGCAAAGCACATGCAACTCAAAAAGAACCCACAAGCAGAAAGCCATAACAAACACGCAATGATTTTAATCGCATTATTTTTTTTTAGCAATAAAAAAAATATAAGGGAAACAAGGAAAAAATAAATACCAGCAGTCACAAAGCACCAAATAACATAACAACAACAAAGCCACAAGCTCAACAAAAACGAAAGCTCCGAAGGAAAGAACAAAAAACTCGTAAAATAATGTGAAAGCTCAGAAAGTGGGATAGCCCTAAGGCAAATAAAAGCGAAGATGTCAGCAACGCCAAGTCCGTGCAAACGCACTCAATGAGTATGCGAAATGCATTAAAACTAAGTGCATAAGCACACCAGAAAAAGATAACACAACAAAGTGAGTAAGTAGCAATCAAAAAGATATACATGACAAAAACAAACTGAATTAATATCTATATATTTGTTGAGAATTATACCTGCGTGCACCAACTTTCTGAGCAAGCGAAGGCGGCCGTTGTGCTGTCCTTCTTGCAATCGACGTTGTTGTTTATCTCCTACAACGCTAAAATTGAATGTGAAGGGAGAAAAATCAACTCACTCTTCCCTCCACCAAAGCTAATTCGATTTCTTGATAAAATCGCCGCCTCTGGGCTTTCAACTCCTTTTTGTCTCGCTTTGTTTCTTCTTTCTTCTCGTTCTTGTCGTTCTAAAATACGATGATCAAAGTTTTTGTAACAACCACCAACCCGCTCCTTCGATTTCGCGGCCGCGAGCCGTAGAGCCAGCTCCGTTTCCAAGGAAGCCGCGACGGCATCCGCCAACCGCTTCATCGAGCCGACGGCCGCAGCAAGGAGGAGCAGATTGGAAATCGACAGTTGCTGCGGAAGCTTCTCCAAAACGCGGAGTGCCATGTGATACCTCCTAAAAAGAATTACTTACTGGTGTTCGCAATTTAAACATCTTCGAAAAAAGAACTGTCTCAATACTGTCTCTTATCCACATATGACGCTGCCGACGAAGGCTTAGGTGT